AGGGACCATACTTTGTTTGAGAGCTTCTGGTCTATGTAAGAGAATCATCTGGAAACCCCCTGCCATTTGTGCGGATATGAGAGGCATGCCAAGGTCAGCAAGACTTGCACCAAAAGAAAATTCCCCAAAGAGATACAGATTTCTTCTTTTCCTGAAAAGAGCAGTGGTTAAATTTTACTGTTGGTTTTGGGAGCAACTCATACTAAAGCTGTCCAGTGGGAGGAAATGGAGAAACCACAACTTGGGCCCGAAAGGAGGGAACCTGGGATTTTATTGCCTTTCTACCCCGTCAGTGCCCCTATTCACAGGCTGGTGAGGGCCTGAGGCTAGAGGAGCTGAAACACACTAGCTCTTTTGTTGTGCAAGTTGATGTTTGTGTCCAATTCGCAGGCAAGATGGCATTTTTCACAGTTCTTCCTCTATTTTTGGCCCTGTGTCTGCTGACCACAGGTGAGTTTCAATGTTTATCACCAAGATAATCTGTTGACCGCCAACATCCAGCCATGAGGGGCAAGGGGATGTGTCTGGAATGCTCTCACACGGAACATGAAGAGAGTACAGGAATGCCAGGCTAAGCTGATTGGAGCCAAGACAGATGACAGCCCTGTGAAATTCTCCCTTTTCTCCCACTTCTAATTCAATTACCATGCTTTGCTTCTCTTGTTTTCCAGAGTGGAACAATCTAGGTTGCATCTGCCATTATTCTTTAATGCCTTTAAACAGGATGAGCAACTCTGAAAGGCCACCTCCAATAATAAGATCTCTTCCTCTCTCAACCGCCCACTCACCTAGGACAGACACCAGCCAGACTGGGGGTCATATCTGCCCAATAATTGGGGAACAAGAGGCATCTAGCTGAATCCTCCCCTTTTTTCACTAGGTTGCTTTGCCAGCTGACAGCCAACAGCTGTGCATGTTACATTCCTGGCAGGGGCCCTTCCAAACCCTACTATTACTGCCAGGAATGACGGGGAAGAGTGGGCACTGCCTACCAGAGACAGAGAAAGGAAACACTATCATGTCTGGATTCCATGTTCCATCTTTGTTTTTATTTGTGATGCAGTTCTCCATTACTCTACTGCAATCTTCTGGAAAACTCTAGAAGCCCACTTTGCAGCCTACTCAGTTACTTGGCCAGTACAGTCCTGGAGTCACTTGGTTTTCATTTCAAGATTTTCATTTCCTACCGCTGACTAGGAGATGGAGAATGATCATCTGAAAGACAAATATTACCTGATACAGGGTGAGCCTAGTGGTGGGGGTGGCGCTATTTCTTTGGGGGATGGGATCTTTATTATCACTATCATTGATGAGACTCTGGCTACCTGGCCAGAGATGAAATATTTTTATCATCATGTCTATTATTCCTCACAGGAACCCAATTAGGGGGAGATTGCCTCAACAGAGGAGGCTGATTAAATTTACAGATTTATTGCAAAACTACTTTGGGAATTGTGGAAAATGAGTTTCACTGCTAAGCTACCTTCCTTTAAAAAAAAAAAATCAAACCGTGAGGCTGTACCCTGTACCTTGAATTATCCGTCTATAACAGATCATAAAATACCCCTGACCTTGCATGCATTTTACTTCTCTCCAAAGAGGCTCAGAACACTTCTTCCAGGCTCAGTACTTCCCCAAGGTGTGGGTGATGGGTTCTAAGTTCATGCGACACAGGGGAAATTCTGACCCAGCAGCAGGGTAGGATAGACTGAGGTCTGCTGCCAGGATGTAGGTCAGAAAGGAAGACTTTCCTTTGCAAAGCTTGCAACCAATTTGGGCAGGGAGTCCTTGTTTTAGTTGAGTCCCAGGAGAGTTGCTATAGGCAATGATGTAAATGTAATCTGATTTTCCATAGATATGAGAACAGCACTGATAATGCATTCCTGACCCCAAACCTAGTGCCCGGGATGTTGTAGAAATAACCACAAGCACCACTTTAAAACTTCGAACTTTCTGAGGAGGATATTCAAGACAACATCTTAGATTTTATTTATTTAAGGCAGCATTTCCCAAATTGTTTTCTGCAGAACATTCCACCTCACAGGATGCTCTGGAAATAAAGAGTTTTATGATGGTAAAGTTTGGGCAGTGCTGCGTGCTACATGTCCCTTGATTCACAATTCTTATTAATGTGAAAGATAAGAGCTAACTCTTCATGAAAATCTCCCTGAGCCGAGCACTAGGTACTTTACATATTTCATCTCACCAGATCTTCAAAACATAATGCTCTGAGGTAGACATTAATTTGTCCCCTTTTTCACATGAGGAAATTGAGGTTTGGAGTGGTTAACTGAGTTGTCCCATTAAAGGTAAAAAAGGAAAAAGGTGGAGCCAGGTTTCAAACCCACTCTCAGTCCCAAGTCTATACTCTTAACACTAAGATTTATCACCTGACCCCTAACTATACAGATACTTTCTCACATTGCTGTTTGTTTTTTTTTTTTTTTTTTTTTGTTGCACAATTGAGTCCATTCCTAACTGTAAGTGCTAGTCATCTTTTACAGGTATCTTTAATTTTTTTTTCATGTCATCACATGGAGCCAGTTGGTATCATTTGAGCTAACATCTTCCCCTAACATCAAGCTTTTCTGCTCTCATCTTATTTGGCCCTCCTATAACTGCTTCGAGCACGCTTTAATGGATTTTCATCTGTATCTTTGACAGTTTATGGATAAATAAAGATGTAAGGGAGACAGGATGTGACTGAGTTTATTTACCCTGCCTTTGGCAAGGAAAGCTTTGTTCACAGTATGAATGTGAGTAAAAAGTAAAAGTCGGATAAAAAATGATACTAATGCTATGTAGTTAGCTCTTGTATTATGTGAGATTTGGGTTTCTTGCACCACTGGGATCTTAGTAACTAGTAGATAAGATATTTTATCTGAGTGATGAGAGGGAGAGACAGAGAATAATTTTGTACCCTTCAGTTTCACCCTTAAGAAATTGTTCATTAAAGTTGGGAACTCTGTTGTCCACGAATGACCTCACAAAGCATACACTTGCTCAGGAAATGGGCCTTTTGAGGGTGAGAAGAGGAACATGTGAGTTATTAGCAGTGGCCTTGTCTCAGCAGAGGCAGAGCCAAAAGGTACCAGAAGTGGTGTCCTTGGGTCCCTAAGGTTGCACAAGGTATCTAATCTCCATCATGCTTGCCCCCAATTAAGTCTGTGTTCTCTGAGAGTTCACATGCATAGGATTTACCCTCCCTAGGCCCCCTTGATCAGTCACAACTGATTTAATGAGCATCTGCACTGCACTCAGCATTTCCTGTATACACAGACCAAATGCCCTGTGTGGCTTGCAAATTGTTGAGACTGTGCCGTCTTACAAGGTGGAGCCTGTTATCAATTGTGGTTCATGAAAGAGTACACTGAGTCCAGGAGAAAAGAAATGACTTTCTGAAGGGCACTTTAGCAAGTAAGGAGCATAGCGGGGACACTAGCCTCACTCCCTTGAATTCGAAAGCTTGTACCCTTATGACCTTCACATATCTCCACCTCCTGCACTACAAGATAAGTGAGGACTTCCTCCACTACCAATACTGTTCTCCTCATAGAGTAAGTGGGTTCTGTTTCGGAAATGAAATTTAAAAAGAAAAATGCTTGACTCAAGCATTAAAATCAAATGTTATTACTAATCAGGTAAGTGGGACCTCCAGTGCAGCTAGGAATTAAAAAAAAAAAAAAAAATCAGGAGATCAGGAGATCATTTATTTTAGGGAAAACACTAATTACATGAAAAGAAATTCTTCTGGGTAAAATTGCCAAGAATGCCAATGTTGCCTGCAGCCCAAACAGACCTTCTCTAGTCTAGCTATGATTGAGATATTTGAATTTGCTCTTTAATTCTCCAGCCTTACAAAAGGTACTTGAAATTGTTCTGAAATGTTATTTAAGTCTTTCAAATAATGCATACAGCAATCCATCTCTTAAAACTCAGTCTCTCATAATTAGGAAAGTACCAGTGAAGGAGGAAATCAGAGGTTAATTATACGCGTACTGCTTTCTTACACTAAAAACTTAAAAATTAAGCACAAACTATTTAGCAATAAGAAATGAGCTATCTAGCCACAAAAAGATGTGGAGGAACCTTAAATGCATATTGCTAAGTGAAAGACATCAATGTGAAAAGGCTACAGACTGTATGATTCCAACTACATGCCGTTCTGGAAAAGGCAACCGAGACAGTAAAAAAATGAGTGGTTGCCAGGAGTTTGGGGGAAGGGACGGAAGGAAGGGTGACTAGGTGGAACACAGGGGATTTTCAGGGCCATGAAACATTTCTTTACAATACTGTAATGGTGGATACACGTTATCATATATTTGACAAAACCCATAGAATATACAATGCAGAGAGTGAACACTAATGTAAGCTATGAACTTTAGTTAATAATAATAATATATTGACATAGCTCATCAATGGTAACAAATGTATCTCACTAATCACACTAATGCAGGATATTAATAATAGGGGAAAGTGGGGTGAGACGAGTGAGGAACTAGATGAGAATTCTCTGTACTTCTCCCTCAATTTTTCCGTAAATCTATAACTGCTCCAAAAAAAAAAGTCTTAATTAAAAAAAAAAAATGAATAAGCAGAAGAGAAGTACACTGTTTCTCAGCATCATAGAATCTCTGCAGATGACAATCCCCTGGCGGGGGAAATAAAAAGATAATCCTCTCAATGCATAACAACTCAGGGCTCAGGTTGTGACAACCAAGGAGTATATGAAAGGTCAATTTAAGCATCTCAGTGGGTTGGAAAGACAAAGCTGACTTTGTGTCACACAGAATTCATCCCATGGAACCATGAAGATGGCAGGAGATAAAACAATCCTCTTTATCACCGGCAGATTAACCAGCAAGGACATGTTCTTTCTATTTATCCTATAGGCTCCGAAGGACAATGAGCCTTTTGTCCTTACACCTGTTGAGGGGGAAGGAGCCCAGGACCGAGGCTTGCTGGGGTTTACGTGAGGCCGCGCAGCTCGGATTTCTTACCTGCGTCTCTGAGGGCACATCCCGTTTCATAATTTGCCTCCCAGTCAAAGGAACTTGGAGACTGAGGCCTCGGCGTTCAAAGTGAAAGGAGCAGGTCCAAGCTCTACTGGAGAATGATAAAATACAGAAATGCTTGTTGGATTGAAATATAGCAGAGCTGTAGCATGTTTGGACTCTCAGACCGACATCAGGCCACGATTCCTCCAGGGCCTTGCTCTTTTCTTGTCCTGGCTTCAAGCACAGCCCCAGGCACACAGTGAAGCCTGGAGGAATGATCTTGAGGACTTTGCTGTAAGAAAAGAGAATAGAAAAATGATTCGCCAAGATTGACACTGGATTTTTCCAGCTGTTTTACTCAAGTTTCCAAAAATACATTTTTCTGTGGGTACATATATGTCGATAGCTTCCTTCATTCTAAACCCTTGCTTGTAATGGGCTCTGTGGGTTTTGACTGCCTTCTTTTAGGTATAGCACTCCAATTTCCTTTGGGAAAACCAAACTTTCCCTTATTTTTAGTATGGGAATTTGAATTTAATACTTCCTTTTGGCCCAACGGGCTGGCCTGTGGCCTGGGCCCAGCCAATCAGAGTTCTGTTTCCCTTTGGTCTTAGTGGGATTCAGAGAAGGACACATAACTCGAGCTGGACCCTTGCGACTCCCACCTGGGATTCTGCTGGCATGATTTGAAAAGAGGTGTTCTTTTCCTGCTGAGGTTGCTAAACTGGTAAAATGCAAGCCTAGAGGTATGAGTGGACTTCTTAGCTACCACTTGGGAAAATTTCTTCAAATGTAAAGCCAAAATAGAGGAAAACTAAGTTGAAAGATGGAGAGAGAATAAATCCTGGTGAAAATATCTGAGAAACTAGAACTGGCTGAGCCTAAAGACAACACATTTCCTGGGTTCTTCAATGAAACGAGCCACTAAATTCCCAGGATCTCCGCCACCTTACAACCAATTATAATTTAACAATGTGTCCATTTTTCTCCCTTATATTACAATTATGTGTCTCTACTGTTCTTCTATATGTTCATGTCCTTCAGATTAGAATTTAACAGGAAAATTCTAACTAGAAGATGGTATGTGCAGAGCTTCAACCACTTCTCTTGTCCTAATCACACCTCCAGATGGACAAAAAGAACGTCCAAAGTGGAGAGTCCTAGAAATACCACTTCCAAATTCAGACAAAAGGCAGAATTCTCCTTTGCTGAACATCTCACTACACCATGAACTCAAAATACTTCAGTGGCTTAGAAAAAGATGGCACGTGGAAGAGCCCTGCCTAACAGATTGAGACATCAGAGAAGGGCCTTGGGCCGAGCCTGGCACACATGCTGAAGACAAGGCCCGGTGCCACTGCCCCCTCACTCAGCACTCCTGTCACACTGGGAGCAGGGCTCAAGAGTCCGGCAGCTTGGCCTCGGGAGATAACCTCAACATTTACGGATGGGTTCGAGCAATGGAGAAGAATGCTCTGTATCTCTCTACCCCACTCTAGCCATTAAATCTAATAAGAACTAACACCTATTAAATGCAGCTATGCCAAGCATGGTGCTGAATATTGGCATCATCTCCTCTAACCCCCATGACAACCCTACCTGGCAGGTCCTATTGTAATCACTACTTTGCAGTTGAAGGAAAAGGGGTCCAGGAAACTTACAGAACCTACCCTGAATCACTGACCAAGTACCCCAGGACCCAGGCTCTCAACCACAACACAAGATTGCCTGTTCTTTGCAGCAAAGAATAAAAAGAGTGCCTGGATCATGGATTTAGAATCATGAAAATGAATGTCATAACTAGAAGGAAGCTTCAGCATCACTTAGCCTGATGGAAAGACTTAGGTAGAGGGAGAGAAATGGCTTACCCAAAGTCACACAACAAGTTAAAGAACTGGGCACTGAGATCTGTTCCTGGGGCACCAATTCTTTCTTAGGGCGCACCCTGTTGTTGTAGGACACATACACCTTGCACCACATACCAAGTCATTCAACAGACACCAATATTACAGAGGCACCAGGTATTAAAGTTCCAGACCTGTTAGCAAACTGCACTGTCCTGAGACTATCTCCTTCTTCCCTCAGGATTCCTGGCCCTCCTCACAATTCAGAAATTAAAGGGTTAATGTCTGACATCACAGGGGCCCCCAGGACCCTGCTCCTTCCCAGTGGCCAGCATCCCCTCTGACTAGTCAACACCTCCGTCCTGTCCTCTAGATTATTTTTCCTTTGAGCCTTTCATTAACACACAAGCCAGTACACATAATGAGAAGTCATGGGTGACTTGCAGGCTACATCTCAGTCATTAACACTGTTATCCCTAATATGAGAGGGAGACAAAAGCTAATCATGCAAATTGTGCCCAGGGCAACATGGCAAGGCCAGGGGAGAAAAAGTTCGGCTCCAGCTCGGGAGCAATCTGTGGAAGACTTTTTATTCCCTTCCAGGCAGTGTTCAAGGGTGCTGGGTTAAGAGATACTCTCCCCACAGAGAGGAAGAGTTCAGGGCATCTGAATTGTCTATGGGAGGCAAAATGGGTCTTGCCTCTTTCACCTTCCTTGTTTCTTTTTGGAGTGGCAGACCATCCCTCAAGTCATGGAAGCTGGCCTGACAAGTGGGAAATACGAGGGAAGGAAAGCTCACCAGCCACAGGGATATTCAGGCCCAGGCTCCTTTTGAACTCTCCAGGTGACTAGAGACCAAAAAGGACCAGTAGAGCTGCTCTTTCTGATTCTTCTCAGCTGCAAAGGTGGAAAAAGGAATTGCTAATGGAAGAGAGGCCCTAATGCATAATCCCCAGCAGGAGTCAACTGTGCACAGCCAGCCAGTCTGAAAACCATCTACATCCCAATGGCTAGCCTTCATGAGATGATGGTTTGCAGAGGACCGATTCAGGCCATTCCAATATATTCCCCTGTTATGCCTTACCAGGGAAAAGGAATTTCTCAGGACTTATAGATCAACAACTAATTCTCAAATATGAATCAATATGAATATTTGTATTCCATCCATCAACAACATTCTTTCATGGACCAGTAATCTATCTCAGTGGTAGCCATGACTTTCTTGTATAATATTTGAAGCAGGACATAGTATACAGTGACTAAAAGCAAATTCTACAGGAAAAGCCAGAAAACTTTCCCACTTAACCTTCACATGGTGCTTCTTCTTCTCTGGACATTAGCTTACATGTCATTCCCTGTTCCAGTTCCTTCCTGCAGGCTAAGGTAGCATTCTCACAGCACAGTTTCCCATTTGTAGTTTTTATTACATTTATAATTATTTGGTTAATGCTTTTCTCCCACCCAGACCCATAATACCCACAAGGGCTGAGACTGCATTCCCCTTACCTGCATCCCAGCCCCAGTGCCTAACAGAGTGTTTAGTTTTACAGTGAGTATTTACTGAGTAGTGAATGAACACTGCAAGAGTTCGACATCGAGTCCTAGCTATTTATGGGACAGGCGTCTTAACTATCACTAGAATATGTGGAAAAGGCACTTAAAAAGGCATAAAGTCATCCATGCATAGATGCAAGTTCCTCAGCTTCAGCAATTCACAAAACGCCCCTTCCAGTTTGTCCTTTCTTCTCATCCTATTTAAGCACATTCCCTCCTGCACCATGACTTAAGGAAACCTCCATGCTGTGGGGAGACTAGTTATTGCAATAGGTACATACTGAATTTTTCTCAAACTAGGGTCCACAGATCAGTGGGGCTGGCTTACCTTTCCTTAGGGTTCTGTGAGTTCCCTACGAGATTTGTAAGAAGTATAAGCATATACTGAATCATGCAGATACACATCCCAAAACTGAATATGACCACGTGATTTAAAAATGTTTGGAAGTTTTTAAATATATGCAAATTCTCTTATACCTCTCCCCTCAAAAGGTGGAGTCTACTTTTCCTTCTCTTGAATGCAGGCAGGACTTCATGACTTGCTTCTAATGAATAGAATAAGGCAGAAGTGACCTCGTATAACTTCTAAGACTAGGTTAGAAAAGGCGATATGGCTTCCACCTGGCTTTCTCATGGGGCATGTGCCTGGAAGCCCTCAGCCACCACATAAAAAATCTGCCTTTCCTGAAGCTGCCATGCTACAGAGACCAAACGGAGAGACTATGTAGAGACAGCTAGAGGAGGCCCAGCTGTTCAAGTCTTCCCAGTCCAGCCGCCAGGCATGTGAGTGACAAGGACTTTGAGATGACTGCAGCCTCACCCACTATCTGACTACACCCTCATGAAAGACTCCAAGCCAGAACCACCCAGCCGAGCCACTCATGGTTCCTGACCCAAAGACACCATGCAAGAGAACAAATAATTATTTCTATTTTAAGCCACTGAATTTTGTGGTGTTTGTTACAGATAACTAATATGGTGTCCTTATTTGCAATGGGGTTTATGATTGCATTGGAACTACACAATATTATTTACAGGCTAATGACAATAGAATAGAGGCAGACTTAATAAATGTATCTCAAGCAAGGGATAAAGTTTTCCAGACATTTGAATAGAGAAAAGTGACAGGAAAATGGTTCATCACCCCCAACTTGGTGTTTCAGATGTGCTGAACTCAAAGGAATCTTTGTTCAGTCAGCAGTGTCCATACGCCTGCTGCAAGCAGCTACTTTGGCAATTACATTTAGCAAGTGCAGTACATTTTAATTTTATTG